TCAGGTATTTAAGGAGGAGGAGGAGGAGGATGTACTAATGAATTACACTTCTCTCTGTTTTTTTTGGTTTCTTTTGGTTTTTTGCCTTTTTAATTTTTTTTCAACTTTGCTCTTAGTGGTGTTTCTATCAAATTTCGACTCAAGAGTGGCTTTCTCTGCTCTGCATTTTGCCCAAAACACAAATTTAATTGATTTTTATCCTAAAATTGATACTGTCAACCACAAATGACAGGTTCAAATCACTTGCTTGCAGAGCACTTTGCATTTTGGAATATCCCCAGTGCTCTCTCAATACAGCTTGAACAAATCAAAAAGCAGGCAAGAGATTTTGGTCAAGTAAATGTATCAACCACATTTTTTGATATCTGCACACCTATTGATGCATGAATGGCCAAAGAAAAAGTGGGTTTTTTTTCAGGTAATCTTGGAATTTTTCAGCTGAAAAGGTAGGTTATAAATACTGGCAATACATAAGACTTGGCTCTACTAAGGCCTTCCATTTGCTGTCTCAGAGACCAGCAGTTATTAATTTTCAGACATAATCAAGTGATTTATATTCATGATTATTGTTCAAGTCATCATGACACTTGTTCTTTCTACATCAGAGGCCTCCTCACTTTCAGCTTCTTGTGTTCAGCAGTTATTAAAATAAGAATGAGAGGGTTTGGATTTTTTTTAGAAGCATTTTATAACATTTTTCCCTCTGATTTCAGGTCTTACCCACTGAACCATCACAAACACCTGAGCAACGTGTACTGCACTGGCTGCACTGAGCTGTATTTCGGGGGTTCACAGCAAGTATTTTCCTCATTTGCACTAAGAGCTGCAAAATTTCTTCCTTTGATACACCATATATTCCATTAGAATTCTTGTCTTTGTAATCATGGTCATAATTAGTGCTGGTGTCAAACTCAATCTGATAAAAATTCACAAATAACACTGAGATTCAATTTTAAAGTGTATTACCTCTGCCACACTTCATGTAATTTGAATGGAGGCAAAAGTCCATCACTTAAATAAGTATTTACATACAAAAAGATCATTTCTATACAATGTCTAATTGCATTTCTTTTAAAAGAGACTTTGAAAATGAACTTCAAATATGTTCTGCTTCCCCACTGCAGTGAAATTGACAGTTGACATTATTTCTGTGTCTAGCTGGTAAACAAAATCAAAATATTTTGGCTGTCAGTTGCTGTAATAAAATGAGATCCAATTTTGTCTGAGGCAAAGCTCAGAGCTTTGAATCGTGGGGTGTTTGGGGAAAATGACTGGATGAATCCAAATTCATTCTCTACACAGTCTCTGTTTGCAAAGCACTTGTGAGGCTTCTCAGTTCTTTGTCTTGCCCAGTTTGGTGTCTGGAGGAGACTCCAGGACTCTGAAAACTGCTCAGTTTTGTGACTGGAAAAAGAAACCTGCCCAGAGCTGCCCTGGGGAGTCCCAGTTTGTGGAACTGGGACCTCAGAGTGGTCTCAGCCAAGCAAACATGGCATGGGGGGAGTGTGTTCCCACTGGATCTGTGATTGATGTCCTTCCATAATATTATAATAATAATATTAATATTCCTGGATTAACTGATAATCCACAAGCAGATTATTACAGGAATTAAAGGCTGCAATTTAACTGTAAGTTATATTAAATATTTGATACCTGAAAAAGCAACAAATCTCATGAAAATGTAGAAAAATTCTAAGCTCTTTCTTTTCCTAACATGATCCTTTAGCTGAAAGCCTAATTATTAGCTGACTGAATGAATACAACCAGGGAGCTGGCTCTGACCAGCTAACAAGTTTGTCAAGTTGTATGTGATTTAATTAAAAAATGGACCTGTTACAAGAGAAGAGATAAACGTCTCTTTTCAAATGACTGCATTTTTAGCAGTGCCTAATCTCCTGCCTTGTTTTCCTACACTATTCTCTCCAGTCTAGCCTGTACTCCTGGGCTTCCAGCAATTCTTCTTGCCAGCTGTCAGGAATGAATCAGCTCTTAATTCCTGGAAGCCGGAGCAGGACGCAGTGGAGACCGCGCTGCTCCAGCTCGTGATTTAATGGAGCTCTTGGTTGTCTTTGCAGCCTCTCAGTGTCCCTCCTTCTTCTTGGAGTTCAATATCCCACCTTTTACTCTGAAAGCCCTGTTGCTGATGTCCTTTTGTAGACTAATGAAAACGCCCTCAGGAGGGAATCCTGCTGGTTGAACCCCCCTTGCGAGGCCTTTTTGTTTCCTGCTTTTTGTGTGGCCCAGGGAACAGTTCACCAGGTGATGGATAATAGAAGGTTGGAGCGCTGTGGATTCAGGAAAGCACTTAAGCAAATTGTTTTATTGATGGCAGGGAGGTTGCAGGCAGGGGTAAATGAAACGTGTGGACAGGTGCTGGGCTGGACCGAGCGCTTTCCCGGAACGCTGAAACGAAATATATCCCTCGGAAAACAGATTTACGTCAAACAGTCCCCTCAGGCCTCCCTCACCATTGCCATCTTCTCATAATCCACATGAAGCTGTGATTTGGGCCTCACTGTACACTCATAAAGCAGCGTATTTAGCCCTTTCGAGCAGAGTTCCCAGGGTTTGCTTGGAGACGCCAGGACATTCGTGTTGTTACAATAAAAAAGGAGAGGGTGGGGTGGCTCAATAAGCGGCAGCATTTCAAAAGCAGCCTGGTGGCATTGATCTGTGCAGAGATGGATGGCTGCAGGAGAGCCCTGGTGCTCTTTGTGGGCCATTGATTTCCTTTCTCTTGAAGTGCTGACTGAGGAAAAGGGGACCGTCCCCTCCGTGCTCCCAGAGGAAACATCTCATTCCTGCACTTCCCACTCAGAGGGGAGGCTGTGGAAGAGGAACAACAACAAAAAAAATACAAGTGGCACTTCTCAGCCATTCCTTTATTATTGAAAAAAAAATAACTTGTAAGCATTTAATAGCACAAAGTGAAAGCTTTCCTTTGGAAAACAAAGATTTAAAGTCATATATATCTGTCGTGAGAAAAACACAAAATCCAGTGAAGTGTGGATGTTTCATATTTAGATTATGATGGAAGCCCCTTACCATAAACTCTTTTCCATGTTAATCTTTCATCTTTTTCTTCTGCTCTTGACATTTATTGTGAGTATCCCATGAAATCTGCTTGTATTATTATTTAAATTAATATTTTAAAATTAATTCTGATTTTAACGCTCATAAATTCAGTTCTCTCCTGCAACTGTTGAAATAGTTCTTTACCTGATTTGGGAATGATTAAGGACTTCTTATGGTGCTTAAAGCAGATATGAGAGACAAACCACATGAAGGTTCTGTGGAGGTTCTATAATGAAGATATGGAGAAAGGAGACAATAGAAACCAGTACCTATGCATTTTATGGCTGATTTTTCCCTCACTGCAGAATCTGATCCTTTATACGGAACTAAAATATTATTAATTAACCAGCCATTCCTGCAATAATCTCAGTGACTACTCGGTCCAAAGTGTGTGCAATCTGCCTGTAATTATGTTGTACCTGCCATTGGCTGAGGGGTTTGCAAACAGGGCAGAGAGCTGATAACACAGAACATAAAACATCAGTTTTCTTGTTGAACTTTACAGCCAAGAGTAGCAGATGAAGGAACCAGAAGGGCTTTAAGGTATGTCGCTCGTTTTGTTGCATCTGAGATTCTGGAGAGCTTTCCCTCATTGCTGAGAGCACATCACACGACAGGATTTATAGTTATAAATTATAAAGCTTTATTTCCCAAGTATTGGGTTTCAGGGGAAAGACCATGAGTAGGAAACAACAGAAATGCAGTGATTCAGCTGAAGGGGAGACCTGGATGATAAGAACTTGAATGAGATCCTTGTTTTCAGAAAAATGATCCCTACTTTTTTTTAGGGCTGCTGGTTGACATCATGTGGGGGGTGACATAGCAAAAAAGGCTTTTGAGATGAGGATACTTGTAGGGTGATGGTTTAAACCTTCAAGAACTGGCAAGTAGGAGACTAAAATGACTTAACCTGTTACTTCACACTCAAAAAGTTTGTTCTAAAGTATCTTTCATTGCTTTGGGTGATCACTAAGACATGTAGGAGCGTTCTGCTGTGCCAGCACAGTGCTCGTGTATTCCCACACTTCCTTGATTGAACTAAAAAGAGCCAATTTCTCTATATTTAAGGTTGTTTTAGAAGGGTAAATGCTCTTAACCAAACGTTAAATGTAGTAATAGCTGCCGATGGATATTGATCTGGATGCTGGAGATTAGTTTTAATTAGTTTTATTGTTGGTGCAGGGTTCAGTGTTAATGTTACTGGGGTGTTCTTTGGCTGGAGCCGAGCAACTGGTTCCACTCTGTCCAGCAAAAAAAACCCTCCAAATTCTGGGAAAACCTTAAGTTTTACAGCAGTTTAAGGCACTGACTCCATCAACTCACCCTCCCATGTCTGTGATTTCAGCAGCAACCACAGTACCATGGGCTTGTACACGTGATCTGTTCTTCCACCGTGTAAATAATTTACCCTGTTATCTCTGTCTTTCCTTTCCCACGTGTTATGGACATGCTATCAGAGTTTATTCGAGGCTTTATCAAGTACATTTTTAATTAATCAGCTTTCTCCTTTGTAAATTAAGCTGTGTTTGTGCTAAAGCAGGAAAGAAACCTCTTTTTTTTTTTTTTTTTTTTTTAATATTTTCTTTGTTTTCAGTTTCAGGAATTTTAGTAAGAGGTAGGAAACTCCATAGCCAATCTCAGGGGGAAATTGTTCTCTGTGTGTAAAGTGTTTTTCAGGGAGCAAAAGACATTTCTCGGTGACTGGTCACACTGGTGTAATAAAACCATAATGTGTGCTGTGTGAATTGTCCTGACTTGGAGATTTATTGGAGTGTTTCATTTAAGCTTTAGGATTAGTTAACATGTTTTAAAACCCGAATCACTTCAAAATTTTGCAAGTCTAATGAATCAGTAATGCAATTTGTAGGATTTTCAAAGGTGCTGTTTGTGTTTTCCTTTTACTGACGCTGTTTCTCCGGGTGTAGATGGGCAAGAGGCAGCTCAGCGGGCTGGAGATCAGCCTGATCGTCCTCTTCTCCATAGCAACAGCCATAACCTGTGTCCTCATCGGGCTGCTGGCAACAGGACAGTCTGGAGTCAAAGATCCAGGTAAGGACTCCCCACGGATGCTGCAGGGTCAGGGGAAACCCCCTGAGTGGGAGCTTCTTGCCTCGGCGTCACTGTCCTGTGCTTGTCATCATCCAAAGGTGGATCCTGGTCGGTCCTTCCCACAGACAATTTGAGTAAAAATATCAGTTATGAACGTAATAAATAGTGTGACTCGTAATTTATAGTCAAGATAAATGTTTTACCTCTGCCCCCCGTGGCTGGACTTTATGAGCATAGAACTTGTATCGTTTCAGAATTTTTGAGTATGAAGTAAGATAACTATGAAAAAAAAAAAAAGAAAAGGAATCAGAGAGATACATTATAACCCCAAAACCCATCCGTATTTCTTGCTGATGTATTGGTATATCAGAACCCTCTTATGTTACAGGGCTGTGATTTAGGGCACCTGCTTTACTTGCAGTTCCATTTCGAGTGAGTAATTCCATTTACACACAGGGACTGAAGCGAAAAGCTTGGAGGTGAAAATGGCAGGAAAATAAAAAATAATTGCTTGTACAAAGCAAGCACTTCTGTGCTTTAATAAAAATACCCTTACAGGCCAACATCTGCATATTATTTTTCCTGTTTCTGTCACGAGTAGGAGTTTCCCTGGGCAAAAAGTACAAGTGCAGATATTGCAGATGATGCAAACAGGCAAGTCTGGGGCTGTGTGTGCATGTCAGCCCCAGGCCACACTTCTGCACTTCATGGTCCTCATTCCAGACCCAAACAGTGTTCCCAAATACTGTTATAATAACTATCTTATAAAATAAATAAATATAAATTAATATAAATATAATATAAATAAATATAAATATATAGAAATAAATATTTAAATATAAATAAATAAAATAGCATCCAGTGCCCCCTTTTGTCAGCTAAAGCTGCCCAGAGGTCACCTCAAATTCAGTCTGACAAACCTGAAATCTGAGGGAGCTTTAAGGTGTTTTTACCTGGTGCTCTAATTCAAGCTCCCGTGGAAAACAGTGTTTTGGGGGAAGGAGCACCACGAGAGCACCACTGGGACATTCAGGAAAGAGAAAATTCCCTCTCATTTTAATTTGGCGCCTATGTTTCACAAGGAGCAATGCATATGGACCCACAGAAAAAATGGGATCAATGCACACCTTAAGAAATAAAAGTATCAATATTGTCCCGTCTGAAATAGTTGTGTGCAATTTTTCAAAGGTAAAAATAAATCACGTAAGCAATAATTTTTACTCATTGTAATCTATTTTAGAGGTTCAAGATGGAGCCAGCAGGAGAAGTTAGTGAGTTAAGAGGTATTCAAGTTATTCCTGCAGTTGGGGGATGCCGGTAAATAACCCATTGTTTTGTTTCCCAAACAGATTTTTACCCCCAGTGTCCGAATATACAAACAGAGGAGAGGATTGACTGCATCCCGGATCAACTGGCAACAAAGGTCTGAAAATATTCTAGAAAACACCACAAAATAGACTTTCTGTCATAAAACCTCATGCTTATTTCACCAAAATGTTCTCCCCAGCAGTTTGGGTTCGGGATGGGTGGGAAACAAAATCAGCCAGACATCAAGCTGTTAAAAAAAGTCACTCTTTATTTTAACATTTTTTTGCTGAACAGCTTCATTTTGTGTGATGGTCAAAAACGAGCATTTGTAATAGCTCAGAAATAGCAGGTGAGGATGGGCTTTGCTCAAACGTGCAAGGCTTGGACAGTGTGAGACACATGGTCACAGTGTCTTTTCAGGAGCACTTTGGATCTTGGTGTCTTCCTCTCTTGGTTGGGTGTCTCCCTTCTGGGAGTGCAGAGTATGGAAATGATATTTTGGCTTAAAAACCTCTAAATTAAAATTCCCATCTTCTGATAGGAGCTTGTGGATGCCTGGAATCTTCTTTTGGTTGGGGGCAGGGGCAGCTTAGGAGAATAAAAAAAAAAAACCAAACAGTATGATGTGGGATATTTCTGTCAACCACAGAGGCATAAAAAAATATTAACCAGCTGTCTCAATCTGTAAAGAAATTCCCAGTCTAATTTCAGATGTGACAGTTGTAAAGCTCCTGTCATGCCATGGGGTTTGTTATGATCTATAAGTCCTGTGGGGGACAGGTTAGGAAAGGTTCAAACCGCAGCCTGTCCCTCTGCTCTTGCTGTTCCCTCCCTGCCCCAGGAGCGTGCACAGCACTGTGGAAGTCATGCAGATCACTTTAATCTTTAATTACTACCTTTGAACCAGTCACCCCACGTTAAGTGCTGCACTCATCATACAGGGAGGGGAGACAGTGTCGCTCTGGTTGCTGCTGTAAGAAAGAATTAAAACCAATCAAATTACAGACCTCAGCAGAAAGGTAGGGCCAGGTGAACACTGGAGCACTGCAGGTACCTGCTATGGAATTAGAGGTAAAATAAATGGTTCCTGAATCTGTTCTTTCCTTAGTGAGGAAAGACCAGGCAGCAGGTTTCATGGATAATTTCAGGGAGAAATGTCACCTTTAACCCACGCCCTGGGGAAAGCTCTCAGGTTTCCCTGGCAGAGCTGTAAAACTACAGGTACCTGCTTAGAATAACATCATTCTTCTGTAGTGGTTTGCACAAATGGGTTTCACAATAAGCAGTAGCTGGGAAAACCGTGATTTGCTTAAGCTCACGTAGAAGGTTCTTGGCTGCCTTGATTCCCTTATTCAAGGAAGATGTTCAAGATGAAACCAGAAAATGAGTAGGATTGCAGAGGGCAGAAACAAATAGAAGCAAAAATGAGAGAACAGAAGGAAAACAGAAAAGGAGAAAGAAAGGAAGAAATTATTCTATTAACTAATCACAGGGTTGGTGAAAGAAAGCAGATATTTATTAACTATTCAGTGCCATGGAAAATTTTCATGACGTTTGATTAAACACACAGAACACACCAGTAAAATATGAATTCCAATGAGCAGAGCTTGGGTATTGTTTTTTGGTGGTTGGTTTTTTGTTTGTTTGTTTTGTCTGTTTTCTGTTTTTGTTCTTTCAAAATATCCTGCTGGTAAAGGTCTGTTTGGGTGCACATAAAGCACAGACAAGCTCTTGGTGCTCAGTTAATCCTTGGTGCTCAGTTTGTGCTGTACCTCAGTGTAAACTGCTTCCTCGTATCCAGGATTATTCTTTATTAAGCTTTGACTTTGGCTTTCTTGGGTGTTGGCATCTCTTGTGCTGGTTTTATAGCTCAGAGGCTGGGATCACATCTTTATTTATACTCAGTGATAGCTTTTATAACAACCTCCCCAGTATCTTTGGTGAACTCTGCTCCTTTCCCTGTGCCAGGCATAGCTGATCTTGAACTTCTTCTGTATTTACCTCCACGTGCCCAAAGCTCAATAAGCCACAGAAATACAAAGCTACAGCTCACAGATCTAGGATAAGATCTGGCTGGAAAAATATCACTGGACTGCAAAGTAACTGCTGAAAACAGTCAAGAAATATTCATGAGAAGTAACTGGGGAAAAAGAAAAGGATGCTCAGGAAGTTGGGAAGGTGGATGCTTGAACTACCAGGCTTTAGGAAAATCTGTTGTTCCAGTTATTTTTGCACTGCATAGGATAGTCACTGGTCTAGGAAGGGATAAGGGGATGGAGGTAAAACTCTGTTCTTATGAACTTAGGATATTCCCCTATATATATGAATTAATTCCCCTATATATGAATTAAAGATTGGACCTAATCTCAGAGGTCTTTTCCAACCTAGCTGATTCTGTGATCCTATGTGAAGGAAATTAAATAAGTGATCTAATAGATCAAAGCTATGATCTCTGCATTCTTAGAGGGCATTGCAATAGTTTATAGAATGGGCAATAGGGAGCTGTCATGGTGGGATCTGGGAAGGAGGAAAGCGAGTGTGGCTTTATCACAGCCTTGCAAAGCGCATCGATTTGCGGATCAGTGTGGGGGGAAATGAGTCACTGCATTTCTCCTCCAACCTTGTTTTTCACCTGAAACCTAAAGAAAATGAGAGCAAACGTGTTTTCTGATGTGATGGATCCATGACAAACACTCATCTGTTTGGTGAATCTGGGTTTGTCTTGGGTGGTTTTGAAGCGATTTTTGTGCTCTGAGCACAATCGAACAGATGCACTGAGACTTCCCCAGCCTGTGGCTCTGTGAGCTCCCTGTGTGCTTCCTTCAACACTTCCCTGGTTTCTGAGCTGGAAGTGCCTTATCTTTGCTCTGTTCAGTGGCTGAGAAAATAATTTGACCTGCACTGACCGGGCTGGGCTCCCTAACCCCAAAACAAGTGTCAGCAAGGCCACCAGCAACGAAGATTTTGGACCATGTCCACCTTTTCAAACTGCAGAGTGGTTTAAATCAGCACGGCACAAACACCAAAAACATTTGAGCACACTCAGATGAAGGCAGAAACAGCTTTTGTTGGGACAGGTGGAAGGTCTCAAGGCTGTTCTTGTTGGATTTGGATACCTGAGATCACTTAAGGGCACTGCCCTTTGCCCTCAGCGAATCTTGAATTTCTATTTGTTTTACCACCGGCCTTTGCTCTATGTAATGAATGGGGAGCTTAAGGTGAGAAAATGGGTGGAAACTTAGTGATGTAACACCCACATCTTATCTTCAACCATAAAATTCACGCACACAGCACGTGAACAAGTTCGTTTCTAACAGCAAAGGGATTTCAGCTTCCTGGACTGCTGAATGGAAGCGTGAACCTTGGTGTCCCTACACTGAGACAGAGCCTTGAAACAGTAGATTTATTTGGTTTTTTTGAGAATAAAACCATTGATTTATCTCAATTTGAGGTTCTACAGAAGCCATCTGAACATTTCTGATATTGAAAAATTACATTTAAATGTACACATTACACGTTCAATTATGCGTATATAGATGTTTAATCAGATGTTTGCCAGATGTTAAACCAAGTATAACTTTTACCTTCTCTCCAGGATGTGACTTTTGGTCAGACTATACTGCATCTGTCACAGCTCAAATGTTTGTTCAATAATTATTTTTAAAGGTTCATTTTGCCTGTGGATCTTGTGGTTTTAAGAAAGGAGGCATGTCTGATAAGCAAGTTTACTCCGAATCCAGAAAGAATCCTACTTGGTGTGTTCTGTGCCGCTGAGTTACCTCAGCAGAGTTTCAAAGAAGGAGCTGATCTCATTGCAGATATTATTAAGATTTCTGGTGTTGGGGTTAAAATGTGCTTTTTTGAAATGGGTTTAGTATGGATTTATTCGTGTAACACCAGCTCATTTGTGGCCCTCATGTCCTTGCCTCAGAGGACCTGCTCTCTCCGTGGCTGCTGCTGGAGGCCCCAGGGCGACACCAACGTGCCCTGGTGTTTCTTCTCCCCAAAACACGGCTACAGAGTCGAGGGGTCAAAAAAATCCACCAAGGCAGGTGAGCTGCGGGCTGGGCTCCCCCCGACCCCTGCACGTGCTGATGGCCAGAACAACACAACAATTTCTGTTTTCCTCCCAAGGGTTTGAGGCCACACTGAAGAGGTTGCCATCACCTACTCTCTTCGGGAACGACATTCAGACCGTTCTGCTCACCGGGGAGTATCAGACACCAAACCGCTTCCATTTCAAGGTTAATCCTTTTTCTCTGCCGCTTCAAGGCTCGTGTTGTCTGCAAGATGTGAGGCTGGAGGGCTGGGTGGATCCCTCTGAGGCACCCTCACGATTCCCTCTGAAATCCCTGGCTCCTTTCTTTGTCCTCTCTGCTCAGTGCATCAGGTTTAGCACAGTGGGATTTCTGCATGAAAAATTGGAGACCTTTGGGAAGCTGAGTTTTTATGTTACCTACCATTTGTCCTCATCACAGGAAAAATTTGGGGTTGAACATATTTTACTTGCTTTTTATTTACGGCCTGGCCATTCCTCTCAGTAATTCTGACAGACAGCATTAGCTTTTCCAGTGGTTCCTGTTTTCTGTGGGAAGCTCAACAGTTCATGACATGAATGTGGGGTGTCAATGGGTTCTGGGGCTTGAGCGGCTTCTTGTGTGGGAGACTTCATCTTATGGTGGGTTCCTGCTGATGCAGGGAGACAGAGTCAGGTACTGTGAGGAAAATGAAACAGTGAAAGCAGGAAAGGAGATTGGGATAAAGGTGGAAGGGCCTCGAGTCAGAACTATATGTTCATGCTGAAAAATTTTTGAATTGGGGATTAATTTATAAAGACCCAACGCTTCTGTTTAAATATATGCAGATCACTGATCCTAAAAAAAAGCGGTTTGAAGTCCCTCACGAGCATGTGAAACCATTCACTGGATCTGCAGCCTCCAACCTGAAGTACCAAGTGACGCTCAAGCAGAACCCCTTTGGCCTCGTGGTGACCAGAGCGAGCAATGGCAAAGTGCTGTGAGTAACCGTGGTGCTTTTCGGGGTGACAGAGGTGCTATTGGTCTTCTCTGAGAGCTGGTGATGCCACACAAAGCATATTCTTCCCTTCTTTTTGATTGATGGATATTCTGCCAGGACTCCTGAGAGGCCTTTGGAAGCAAAGTCTGTGCTGTGGGGAGCTCTGTCTGAAAGGTTTCAGGTCTGGCTCTCTCTTCACTTCCCTCCAACAGGGGGAAATCTCTAAAACTACTTTGTCCCATCAATTTAGGGAATTTTTATTACCTGAAGGACTCCTTGCACGTGCAAATCATGGGGGAAAACTCCTGATTGCACCTTTTATCTCCTTTGTTGCAATCGTGCTGAACCCCTGAACCACCAAAGCCAGGCTGCCCTTTAGACCTGTGATATCCTCAACAGATCTGTGAGCCACTGCTCAGCTGGTCGTACAAGACTGGAAATAGGATATTTGATGGACTTGTACATTGAATTCTTTCATCCCATTTGCATTCTAAAAATAAATAAATAAATAACCCAAGCCAGTGGCCATGAGAGAGGGGAAGTGTCAGGATGAACATGGTTATTAAACCAGCCCAGCAATGATTACCTGTCACAGGGCCAGGCCAACAGGATTACCAAGGCTTCAAGTTTAATTAATTAGGGGTCACTTTTTGCTCTTATTAGTATTGTTTTCTCACTTAGAATCCTCTGTGATGATTGATTTGCAATTATAGAGGGCACAGAAGATGGACTTGGTATTTGGTAGTGCATGACTGATTAAACAGGTGTATGGAGGGGGAATAACAAACCCAGTCCAGTGGAACTGTGTTGAAACAGTGCTCTGGAACACTGTCTAAGTTTTCCTTAGGCTTTTGCTTAATTTCATAAAAGTTTTGGTCTCTAGAGAAAAAAAGATAGTGATGCTGAACTCTGAGTATCTAAAGGAAGCTGATGTTGTCATGGGGTAAGGGCAGCCCCTCAGATATAAATCTTTGATAAAATTGTTTACACATGGGAGGCCTCTTTGGAAAAGTAAAGTGAGAACCAGTGGGTCATTACATTTCATTACCAAAATCCTGATTGTCCAGATATTTATAAAATCTGTGAGCTTCTATCATAATTTGTCACGCTCGAGGCCCCAAAAGAATCAGAGTTCTGACAGACCTGTTGCCATCACCAATTGCAAGAAAACCTGAAAGATCTGCATGGAGACTAATCCAACAAAATAGCTATTTTAGCAATCCTTGCTGAAATGCTTTCCTTACTTATGGATTATTTTTATGTTGTTTCGCCAGGTTTGACACCACCATAGGCCCCCTTGTGTACGCTGACCAGTTCTTACAGCTCTCAATCAAACTGCCCAGCAGCAACATTTACGGGGTGGGGGAGCACGTGCACAAGCAGTACCGGCACGATGTCAACTGGAAAACCTGGCCCATGTTCAGCAGGGATATCGGCCCCTCTGGAGTGAGTCTGGCTGTGTTTCACCTCGTTCTTGGCAGAATGAAAATTTCTGGGGCACCCATTTCTCAGTAATTGTGAGGGTCTTTGTTGCCATTACCTCGATTTCATGAAGCAACAACCTGTATGTTTTAATTTAAGGGAGAACTTGTGTTTCACTGAAATGGGAGCTGTCCTAACAGAAATTAGAGGGTGAGATGACTATGTGTAGTTAATTAATAATTTGGAATTTGTACCCTTTACCCTGAGGCTCCTGCTCCCTTTTGTCTCTGGTTTGAAGACAGTTCTCATCTCCTTTGAGTGTAGACTCATTAAGTTAAAGTAACAGTGAACAGAATCAAGTTAGGCTGAGTTTAAAACACTCAGGTTCTGTTTCTTAATTAGACCTGAGTTTTCTTTTAGGAGAAGAAGCACATCTATTGCAGAAATTGCCAACATCTCTAAGGGGTTTTGCTGCTAATAATAACAACAGAAAAAAAAATAAAACCACAAAACAAACAACACACTAGAAAGGAAATGCAAAAGAAGCAAGACACTCTTATTTCCATAGATTACACATAAAATTATTACCTTGTAGGATTGACAGAAATACAGATCTGTGGTCAGAGGTGATGAAAGCACCTTTCAAGTTCTCCTGCTCTCTTGATGTGCACATCTATTACCCAGAAACAGTGCTGCAATATGTGCTGCCTTGCCTGCAGATCCATCACATCTGCTCACTTATACTATCTGTTTATTGGGGGAACCTTTGTTTTAATGGAAAATGTTCTCATAAAGGAGAATAACGCCAGGAAAGAGAAAACAGAACTGCAGGGGAGTGTCAGGATTGAAATGTTTGCTGCTTGCTCTCTTTTGAGACGTTTCAAGTTCTACCTGTGATAGATTTTGAACTATCCCAGAACAGGGATTGTTATTAGATTTTAGTCATCTTACCTGTTCTTTTTATCATTTTAGGAAATGCATAACTTATATGGAGTTCAAACTTTCTTCCTGTGTTTGGAAGACACCACTGGAGCCTCCTTTGGTGTTTTCTTAATGAATAGCAATGCCATGGGTAAGAAATCTTTGTAAAAATTAAAAGATAAAAGCTTCAACATTGGATTTCTTCTGATTCTCTTCTCTGCGGCATGTCAAGGAATGGAAATCTGGACATTTAAAAGAGCTATCTGAGTACATTTCCTCTTATTTGAAAGTTTGGTTGATGGCTCTGAGTTTTTTGGGTATTCTTGTTTTTTTCACTTCAGTAAATTTTCTAATCTGGAAAATTAGAAAGCTAATTTAGAGTGAGTTGGTCTACAGACTCAGTTTTGTGCACTCTTTTCTGGCAGAGTTTGTGGTGCAGCCTGCTCCAGCAGTGACCTACAGAACCATTGGTGGGATCCTGGATTTCTACATCTTCCTGGGGGACACTCCAGAGCATGTAGTCCAGCAGTACCTGCAGGTATCTTTGCCTACAGAGGCTGTGCATTGAACAGATTATTTAAAGTGCTTTTAAAGGGATTTATTTTGGTTTTGTTGTCTCTTTGTACGACAATGTGTGTTGACCCTATAACTGAAGACATAACTCAGTATATATCTAACTAACTGTTAATATCTCAATAATGTGAGTTCCTCCTATGACAAATCCCTGTGCCTAAGGCAATTTTATAGGATAAACAGTGTGCTTAATAACATGCTATGATTTTATTGTCATAAAATATTACTGGTATCTTTTGTACCTCTCAGGATCTGCTGAGATTTCAGTGACATTTTAAGGAATGGTCCTTGTCCCCGGATATTTTTATTTATTAAAATAAATTATTAAAAAAACCCAACCAACCAACAACTATTACATTTGGGAGTGAAAGGTCATTTAGTGTGTATTATTCAAGATTTGAGGAGTGTGGGTTCAGGGAAAGGGGCACTGATGGCACGTGGGATGTCTTCTCTCACCTTGCAGTTCGTGGGATTGCCATGGTTTCCCTCCTACTGGAGCCTGGGCTTCCAGCTGAGCCGCTGGAATTACGGCTCCCTGGAGGAGGTGATGAAGGTGGTGAACAGGAACAGGGACATTGGACTCCCTTATGTGAGTATGGGGTGAGGGGGGAGGACCCACAGAGCTGTTCAGCAGCTCAGTTGGAATTGGGAAATTTCTGAGGTCAAGGGTTTTTGTGCATTTTAATGGTAGACCCACTATCAGTGACTTGAGCCCTTCATTGTGATACTTTTATGCATCCAGCTGTATCCACTTTTCTTCTCATGTTACCTAATCCATGAAATAATTTTTTATTGTCCTATGGAGCCATGTATTATTCTTAATGGACAGTCAAAGGTAAAGTGCAATTAACTTTTAAAATTAGATTTTAGATGACATTAAACTGATGTCCTAATAGAATAAAAATGTCCTAATGTTAAGCGAAGAGTTGAGGAAGGAATGTTTGGATTTAAGGGAACAGCTCTTGAAGTCAGGCAACTGCAGTGGCACAGCCACATGCCCAGGTTTATTTGAAAGGGTGCCAATATATGCATTCATTTAAATTCTGTTAATTTAAATGCAGCTCTTTTTAGGCACTAAAGATGTGTCAGAACCATTAATTGGGGCTGTGAGTCCAAGGTGAGATGTTGCTTCCAAGTGGTCCTGACAGCAAACTCTCTGCCAGACTGCAACAAAGTCCCAACAGTAAATTCACCGTAAAACAAGCAGGAATTGTCAGAAGAAATTATTTTGGACTTACATAAAAATCTTTCCATGTCACTCCGTTTGTAAAAGATGAATTCCCTCCTCTTTCAGGATGTCCAGTTCACAGACATCGACTACATGGAGGGAAAGAAAGATTTCACGTACGACAAAGAGAAGTTTAGAGATCTCCCTCAGTTTGCAGAGTATATGCACAACTATGAACAGAAATACGTTATCATATTGGTGAGCATTTAATGACCTCTTTGCCCCCTTTAAACACTAATATTATAATTATTTATTTATTCTTTGGTAACTATTGCATTTCTTGCTTGTAATGATGAATGGGGTGTGTGCTGGTTTCTTCTTTTATTCCTGTTTTCTGATTTTTTTTTTTGGTTTTTTGTTTTTTTTTTTTTTAGGATCCTGCCATTAGCACACAAAACCTGGTGGATGGAAGCGCCTATGGAAGCTACGTCAGGGGAACAGAGAGAAAAGTCTGGGTTAATGAATCCGACGGAGTAACAGCCTTAGTGGGGGAGGTAATTGTGGTTTTCTGCACTTGATCTCAGTTTGTTGTCACTGTTTTGCTTTAATTTAGGGCAGGAGCCTCCTTTAAAACTCTCATTTCTAAGTTGCTTCTTTCAGTAATATTGCTACCAATGAGAGCACTCAGACTATGAAAATTCTCAACCTTTCTTTTTCTTTTTTTTTTTTTTAATTTTTTACATTAAAAAAGTGAGTTTTGACATTCAAATTTTTTTGCATTAAAACTAATTACTTTTTCACATTTTTACATTTTAATTTTTATTTTTCCAATAGAAATAAAATTATATTGCTATAAAGATTACATTACAATTAAATTTACATTACAATTAAAATTATATTTTTTCATGTTAACCCTAATTTTTTTTTTTACATTGAAAGATAGTTTGAAAACTCCTATTTATTTTCAGTAATAACTAATGAGCCAGCTCCCATATTACACTTTTAATTTATAATTTTATGTTACACTGAGAAACTTTTCAGCTGTGCATTTCTCCTTTCATGACTGGCGAGAAGAATTACTGACAACTCCAAATCTAAGAAGTTCATTCTCTCTCTCTCCCTCTTTCAAGGTCCACTCTGACATGGGCAGTTCTATGATTCTATGAAGTTTTTTTAACATAATTTAGTTTATATCTTATAATAATATTTATAATATCATAAGTTTAATTAATTACTCCCCCTTTAATATTTGCAGGTGTGGCCAGGGGAAACCGTGTTCCCAGACTTCACCAACCCAGAGTGTACGAGCTGGTGGGCGGAAGAATGCAAATTATTTTATGACACGGTGCCATACGATGGAATCTGGATTGTAAGTAACTCAGAATTGCCATTTTAATTTTTCCTATTCAAAGCAGTCAAGGGTGGGTGAATACTGAATTCAATTTGCCTTGAATGAGAAAGGTTTACTCTTAGGCACCTGAAATCTGGGCAGGGTGTGTCTGTTCCCTGGCGCTGAACTTGGACTTTAAATTTGAATTTTAAATTTGAATTTTAAATTTGAATTTTAAATTTGAATTTGAGTCCTGAGTTCTGGCATTTAAATGCTGGGGTTTGGATGTTCAGTGACACTTAAATGCTTTAGCTGATGAACCGCCCTGCTCAGTGAATATGTGCTAAATAGATCCTGAATACAGAACATATTCCATATAAACTATGGATCTATGCCCCAATTACCTCATAGAATTCCCACTGTTCCATCTGAGTTGCTATTCCAGAGAAGGCTTTGGAAAAATCAGGATTCCTAGAGAAGTTCTCCCCCAAAAAGACTAAAATACAGCCTGGCACGGTGGATTTTAGGGTACAGCTCATGGAAATCAGATTAAGAACCCTTTTGACTGGTCAAATTAGTTTTTTGGGTTTATTTTAAGGAATAACCTGTAATAAAGCTTCTAAAATTGGGCTCCTGAAGGAAATTTATACTTAAACTACTCAATCCCTGTCTCAGCAACAATTCAAAATCAACCAGTTTGGCAAACTCCAGTGCCTCAGCTGCCCTGTGGGTGGTGGGGTGGCCCTGGGTGGGCACCAAAGCTGCTCCATCACGGACCTTCTCAGCTGGGAAGAAAATATAGGGGAGAAAAAAAATACAGCAAAAGGCTTGTGGATCAAATTAAGGACGGGGAGGGATCAGTCAGTAATCCAGTGAGGTGGTGGAGGCCCCATCCCTGACAAGGCAGGTTGGACTCCGTGATCTCAGAGGTCTTTTCCAACCCTAATGACTCTGGGATTCTCTGGTTCTGTGATTCCCATCATGGGCAAAACAGTCTCAATTTGGGGGAAAAAAATGAATTTAATTTCTTACTGATCAGGTCAGAGCAGGTGATGAGAAATAAAAATCAGATCTTAAACCCCCTATTTCCTTAAAGGATAAGAGACTACAATGGAAGAAATACAATGGATGACTTTTTTTTTTTTTAGGAAAATATGCTTATGGAAATTTTATTACATCCTGCATCTTTCCTTTTCAGGATATGAATGAAGTATCCAACTTCATTAAAGGCTCAAAACGTGGCTGTGAACAGAATGACTTAAACTACCCTCCTTACACTCCCAGTAAGTCCATCTACTTTAATTAGAAAGTAAGATACATATATATTTATATATAAAATAAATTACAAATGATTGTGAAATTATCTTCAAGGATACAACATGATTTTACTGCAGTTCTTATGGGAGGGGTTTGAACATTCCTATGGACAGAAAATCCATGTCTAATTTAGGTGTAGTTTGTACAACTGCATTTTTTCTCTTGTGGAATTATTACTGAATATTGATGTCTGATAATGTAGAGATCCTCTGACACTATCTGTGGTTTTTTTAGATGTATCCAGAATTAAAATAGAGTTCATAGCTTGCATTTAGTAGTAAATTTAAGTCACCTTTTCCAACGTGATGTCAGATGGTGATTCAGAAACTTAAGAGCAAAGTTCTCAGTTATTCCTTGCAAGGGGCAGAGCTCAAGAGTGGGAATATCACAGAGCAAAGATGGATCAAACCAACAGCCAAGAGCAGCACTCTTGTTTTGTGATAGTTCTACCGCTTTATTGAAAAATTAAAGATAAAAAAAGGGGCTTTTGAACATCATGACTGTGCATTAAAGAAAAGATTGGAAATATTATTAATAAAAATGTACCTTAAAAATGATGTTTGTGTTATTTTTTTCAAGGAATTCTCGACAGGCTGATGTTTTCCAAGACGGTGTGCATGGATGCAGTGCACACGTGGGGGAAGCACTATGATGTCCACAGTCTCTACGGATATTCCATGGGCATATCCACACAGAAGTAAGGAATGCATCCTAAAACCTTCACAAAAAGGTTTCAAACCCACTGACTCGAGTTGGGGGGGAAAGCCACGAATTGGTTGTCAGAGCTGTGTTAAAAGATTATTTCAAACTAACATCCTGAACTTTGCAAAAATACACCTTGTTTACTGTAAGGGAGCCCACGTCCCTGGGATGAATAATTAGTGTAAATCAGTGCAAATCTGCTTTCTATGGAACTATGAATGTCTGAGTTGTCTTTGCATAATTCCAGTCTCATTTCCTTTCAAGAGCCATCGAGAGAGTGTTTCCTGGAAAGAGGAGCTTCGTTCTTTCGAGGTCCACTTTTGTGGGATCAGGAAAGCAAGCAGGACACTGGCTGGGAGATAATGCAGCAACGTGGGATCACCTAAGATGGGCAATACCTGGAATGCTGGAGTTCAACCTCTTCGGATATCCCTATGTATGACATCACTTTGTGCCATCCTTTCAAAACCCGGGGACGAGCAGCAACTCCAGCTTTGTGATAACACATTATCTGATCAAGCACTATCTAGATAACCATCCTACATTTTCAGTTCCAAATTAACCCTCTTTAGGAATCTGGTTTCAGCCTTTTTAATTTTCCCAATTATTGATTTTTGGTTTAGGCCATTATTTTGATTACTGTATGTCTAAGATGAGATAAATGCGAGTAACAAATTTACTGTCTTATATCTCTCAAGCTGCCTGTTATTTCCAGTAATTCTTAAACATTAGTGAGAAATGTGAAACACTTAATGGTTTTCTCATCATTTCAAATTAAGTAGTGACATCCATTTATGAGAGAAATAGCCAAATTCCTTTCAATGGTTTAAATTTGCATGACTTTGGAGATTTTTGGCCTAATGTCTGCAAAGTATCACCAAGCAAGAAGGTAAAGATTTGGAAGAAATAGAATGATGGAGGCAGCATTACCTTGTCAGTTTAATTTTTTTTTTGGACAGAACAACTGAATTTGGAAGAAAAAAGGCAACACAAATGTGTTGAGTGGCTTAGTCACTCTGATTGTCAGTCAAGGTTGAATGAATGCACCTTGTGCAGAGATTTGAGATGCAACACCCTGCACATCCAACACATTCTGCTTTTGTTTAAAGATTGGAGCAGACATTTGTGGCTTCTTTGACAACACCACAGAAGAACTTTGCCGGCGCTGGATGCAAGTGGGAGCATTTTACCCCTTTTCCAGGAACCACAATGCTGAGGGGTACATAGTAAGTTGTGCTTTTCCTTAAAAATTGCTTTCTGTTACACAAGCAGTTTTCCTTTAATGTCATTTTTAATCATTGCTATCACTGGCCAGCTTGAGAACAGCAGAACCTGAAGTTCTCCTCATGAAGTCTCACATCTGAGAGGTTCAGCTTCATGAAGGTTGATTGAGGATACACTTCTTTGGCAACAGTGTCATCAGTAGTTCTGATTGTTAAGGGCTGTGTGACTCCTGGGAGCCCCTTGGCACGGGCCTGCCTGCCAGGATAAAACCTGGACTAACCCTGGAGTGCCCTCCTTGCAGATGGGGAAGGAAGGATGTGCAGGGGGAGCCCAGAGGGGCAGGACCTCGGGCCAAACCACCAGAAAGACAAATTCCAGCTTCTCTGAAAAGCAGCAGCCACTTCTCACACATTTCACAGAAGGTTTTCTACGTGCTGGAAATAACAAACCGCTCTTTGTTTTCAGTCTCAAGACCCGGCTGCGTTTGGAGCTGACTCGGTGCTGGTGAGCAGCTCCAAGCACTACCTGAACATTCGCTACACGCTGCTGCCCTACCTGTACACCCTCTTTTACAAAGCCCACACTCAGGGAGACACAGTTGTACGGCCGCTTCTGCACGAGTAAGTTTGCTCATCAGCCCGTGGGACAGTTTTTTAACGAAATCTAGACACTTTAGGTGCCGTGAGATGCTTTTTGCACTCCTGTACCCTGTGAAAATGGACACTGGGTGGTCTCTTCCCAAGTGATGAAATTCTGCTTCGGAGTCGTAAGAAGGCAGTTTTTATATGACTCTCTTTAGTCATGGTTCTACACAATCAGTAACCTGAAACCTTGGGATTGCTGCTGATGGTATAGATCACCAAAAAAAAATACAGTTACTTCTTTATTCTTCCCATGTGTCCAGGTTCTACTCAGACGAAGCAACGTGGGACATCAGCTGGCAGTTCCTGTGGGGTCCTGGGCTGATGATTTCCCCTGCACTTGATCCAGTAGGTTTGGCTGTTTTGGGATCCACCTTGTAAGCACATGACAAGGCACAGGAACATGATGAGTCACCACTTTTCCCCTTCCATTTATTGCTCCCGATGAGAAAGCCCCCAGCACGCTTTTATCCCTTCTGAAATGGAAAACCTTGCACTTAAACCCCACTCCTGGATATAAAGAAGACATGGACATACTTCTGGATATGATCTGGTTCACTGGGTTAGAAGCATTGTGACTTTGGGTGGCTTGCAATGAGCTGCCACTTTGCAGAGCAGTGATTTAGTTGCCTCCCAGTGGCTTTGCAAAAGTTGTGCTTGGATTGTGCTCTCCTCCTTTCTGGGCATCACCCTAAAAACCAGGAATGTCCGAGTATCAATGATTTTTCTCCCAGTGAACTTTAGTTTTATCCGAATATAGAGTTTATTTGATGAAGTTGCCCTGAAATATGAGTGTTGCTTCTTTGTTCACCTTCCAGGGAGTGAATGTCACCCGCATCTACCTCCCTGACGCACCATGGTATGGGTTTGAGACGGTAAGGAAATGCAGAGGGCACTTTGGGGGTATTTTCTGAATGGCAATGGGATTAAATTGGATTGGCAGCCCTGCTGTGGTGACAGAGACCTAAAGCAAAGCCTGTGGGAAGGAGATGGTGAGATGAGGGATGAAGGGTGGTGGGGTGAGCTCATGAATCAACACCTCAAGAAAGGGCTCAGATATGGGACATTAGATCATAATAATATGCACTATTTGATCTTTATGTGCCCGTTAGCCCAGAGATATTTACAGAACCTCAGCTCTTTCTAAAGGGGAGAATTCTGATGGAACTCAGGACTGAAGAAAGCACTCCCAGCAGTGAGTGACACCACATTACCTGTTCTCTTTTCCATCTCTGTCAAAAAGGGCGAGCCGGTGGTTTTGAGGAAAATGTGGTACAATTTAAGTACACCAGCGGACAAAATCGGAGTCCATTTGAGAGGAGGATACATTTTCCCCACCCAAAAACCAGGCAACACGACAGTTGCAAGGTATTCCTCAAAACTGAACGCGATTTGATGGTTTGTTTTTATTTTTCCAAGACTGGGCTGAATGACTTTCGGGTTACAAATAAGTAGCAGCTCGTTATATTTAGCATTTTCACCCCGAAATCTGGGAATAATGTGAGCCAAACCTCACTTCCACAGCTGTTGATTGTTACAGGTTCAGTTTGCATGGCAATTTGTATCAATGTTTTAAGGTTGCTTAGATATTTGTTATACATGTAAGTCTCTCTTTCCACAGCCGCAAGAATCCAATGGGACTTATAATTGCCCTGAATAGTGATAATAGTGCTGTTGGGGACTTGTTCTGGGATGATGGGGAATCTACAGGTGAGCAGTTCTCAATGGTGGAATGAATATAATTAACAAAGCATAAAAAAAGCACAAGTTTCAGTGTTCCTGCTGGTTTCATGGAGGAAAAAAGGGTTGCTCGTATGTCGATAGTTTTTCATCATTTTTTATGTAGAAAACTGTAAATATTAATAGTGTAAGGTAAAAGTCACCACTGAATTCCATGCAAGTAAAGAAAAAAAAAAAAAAGAGGCACAAATCTCTAATTTGAGGTTAAACCTCTAGTTTGAGGTTTTAGCTTCCAGTAAAGTTCATGCTTTTGGAATCCATGCACATGTAAGGAAAGCAGAGCTCATTCTGGAGCATTGGAAAGATAAGAGTGAAGTCAGAGTTTAGGTTTTAGGCTTTCAGGGAAACAATTTACTTGTGAGGAGAGTATTTAATTTTTATTTTTTTTTTATTAAGTGGAAAAAACTGCCAGATTGACTCAACTTTTCTATTTCTTTTTCCTGTTCTTGAGTTATTTTCTCTCTCATGTTTCCATGGTGTTTATTAATATCATCATGTTGTTATGAAAAATCCTTATTTAGGGTGCGTTAAAGGGTTAGTTTTCACCCAAACATCTGTGTTTAAGAGAAGATAAAAAGGAATGCCAGTAAAATAACAATCAGTCCATTTTCAGAAAGCTGATTTCAAGAACTTCTGAAAAATTTGGCAAAAGTGGATCTCCTGGGAGGCTGGCCCAGGAGAAAAAAAGAAGAAGAGAAATTTCAGTTCCTCAAGAAACATGAGTAAATATTTGAGTTGCTTAGTGCAGCTTCTGAATGCAGTAATGATAATAATTAACAATTTATTGGTCTCTGGCAGTGGCACAGTCCTGGTTTTAATTCTATCCTTTTCTACACTGTAAGTGTAATTTCTTTCTTTACCTTTTAGGTACCATTGAGAATAAAACCTACCTTTTCTATGAGTTTACATGTTCCGATGTAAGTATTTTATTTTCAATGATCTTATTTTCGAGTTTTGATTTCTATCCAGTGTCTTCCAAGAGCATTCTCTTCTCCCTCCTTATTTTCCTCTGAGAAACAAAATATTCGACAAAGTCAAAGAGGAATCATGTTCAAAATACTGTAATTTAACAGGGATGAAATCTGTTGTCTTTTTTTCCTGCTAGTTAATGTAAGTAAGTAAAGAACAATTTCCTTTCACATAATAAAAATTCAGCATGATGTTTCTTGAGAGAGAAAATTATGAAGCATCAGTGGCAGTTAAAACAGAGTCAAAAAAGAGGTGCATGTAGAGGTTTTGATTATAAAAATAGTGGAAACTTAAAAAAAAAAATTGATTTTTTTTTTTAATACAGTTGAAGGACTCCAAAGAGTGAGGAAAACCCACACCTTGTCTGAACCCCCGGAAACTCCATAGTAATTAAGTTTTATTGTGTTAATTGTTTAAGCTGAAACCTCCTGGGCAGGGTTCTTTTACACCAGGGTGGAGTCCTGAGAGTGTTTCTATTCAATATTGACTGGAGTTATCATATAACAAGGATTGCAAGCAACATGATAACATATTATTTGTATAATAATAATACTATCTGCCAGAGGAATTCATTCCTTTGCCATGATGGAATATCATGAGACAAGTGAGTGAATTCAGAGGAACACGAGTGGAAGAACATGGCTTAGTAATCTCTTTTTTTTTCTTTTTAGTCAGAAGTAATCAAAGAATCATTTGTAGATAAGAAACCGCAGCTGCTGTTGGGGTTTGAAACCAAATCATCGCTTGACTGTCATGACACTGAATTAAAAATTAACCTTAAGTGTCACGTGGAGAGCAGTAAGGGAGTTCTACGCTGGCACATGTGGCAGACTCCTAATCTAATAATAATTAATGAAATTGAGCAGGAAATGGCATTTTTATATCAAGAAAAGTGAATAAGAACCTTTGCTTGTTCAAACCCAGTGAGATCATGGTCGAGTGACTTTTACCTGCCCTGTCACAGACACACCCCAGCCTTTTTATTGCCCAAAAAAGCAAAAAGAAAGGAAGCTGAAATATAGTCTTGAAGCATATTACACACATGGGAGAAAAGCATTATTGTGACAACAACCAGCAGAGAAAGAATTATTATGTTAGGAAAATCAGATTGGCTTACTTTGTGCTACAATACGAAAATCTGATCAGAAAGAAACAGTTAAACCAAGAGGACTTTTGGCAGATTTTTTTTTTAATAAAAACGTGTCCACTCTTTTTCAGAATTCTCTGGTCATGAATGTTACATTCAACAACTACAACGATCCAAACAACTTGAAATTTGAAGAAATCAAGATCTATGGAGTGACCCGGGAAATAACAGCAGTCACTGTGTATCAGAACGACGTTGTGCAGAATGACCCACTTAACATCACCTACGATGCTGCGAACCAGGTAAAACAATATCAGGAATATGGAAAGTAAACATATTTCAAAGTGCATCAGTTTTGGTTTATGTATTGCAAAGGACAGCCCTCAGTGCTAATGCTGTTTCAACAAAATACAACGTGAGTTTTAATGCAGAATGAAAGTAAAATTGCATTCAACTCTGCTGTGTAAAAGTGCATCCAAGTTGTGCTCTCAGACCCTCAGTGCAGCAAGCAGTTTATTATTATTTATTATTATTCATATTAACTCATGGATTTATTCCTGTTTGCTTCCAAGGAAGCTGTGGGATTAACTCAATTTTTTTTTAGATTCCTAATTTTTCTCATTTTTGCCTGCCAGAGTATCTGTTGTGTGCGTTTGTAAAAGTGAGACTCGATCAAATATTACAGGACAGGGGGTTCTGTGAGTTGTCAAGTCACGAAGTGCATTATCCTTGAGCACCAGCACCTCTGCTGACTGAAGAAAAGGTGGTTGGGATGTGACATTTAATAACTGTTTATTGTTTAATATGTACAGGCTGCTCTTATAACAGGACTTCAGCTTGAACTGGGAAAATCTTACACATTAAAATGGCAGCAGGGCCAAAGTCTCAGTGAAAGGTTTGATTGTTATCCCGATCTTGATCCAACAAAGGAAAAATGTGAACAGCGCGGCTGTGCCTGGGAAGTAAGTAATTATTTCTCTAAACTAACAAGACAGAAAGATTTCCAGAGCCAGAGCTTTTTCTTTGGGCTTGTTATGGAATAAAAAGCACTTTAGCAGATTTATCAACTTTAAATGAAGTGGGGGCACAGACCTCAGCTGGCCTGTACCTGCTGGATTTTGTTCTCCTCACTGGTTGGCAACTGGGTAAACTCTCCCAAAGCACATCAGAAATTGAGGAAAAATGTGGTATTTTTTGAAAGATGGAAAGAAATAGTATTAGAGTCATGGGAAAGGATAATAACACCTTCAGCTGCCTCTTCTGCTTCACTGGCACCGTGGCCTGCAAGGCTCATCCCCTTTGTCTCACCTTCACAGGCACTGAGGGGCATTAGAAATCAAATCAGTTCCTCTGGATCTCAGTTTGAGGGGAAATCCTTGAATCTCCTGGAAATTTTGATTCTGATGTGACCTTCATTGTTTATATCCATGTCAAGGAGCTCTTTCCAAATCCCAATCTCTGACATGGAGTTGTTTAACACACTGTTTTATTTATTAATATCCCACAGCTCTAAACCTGGCAGGGTTGAACTTCAGAGGGTCCCTCCAACCAAATTACTCCAAGCTCCTCTAAATCCAGAAATGCACATCTTGGGTTTATCCCCCAAAAATGATGGCCAAATTTCTCTGCTGGGGCTCTTGAAACAGCAACAGCTGAAGGGGCTGAGGAACTCTCCGGGTTTTGTTGTACTAATAATAGAGGGGGGTTGGGTTCTCTTTTCTGGGAATTTTGGATATTTAGAAATGTTAGGAGATATTAGATAAGTAGAGTGCAATTTTCAGTGAAGGTTTTAAGGGTAATTTGTATGAATAAAGCCACTGGAAAGATCTCTGGTATTGCCTGAATATCTTGATGGGTTTTGGGCACAGTACCTCGAAGGCAGTGGGAGACCAGAGAGCAACAGGGTTGAAAGGGAGGAAACTTTAGGAATTTCAACAGGCCAAGATTAAACCATGTTGTGGGATTGAGCTGAAGATCACAGGGACAGGGAAATTAAATCCATCAAGGCTTCAGTTTCCTGACTGAACTATCTGTACAACCTTCACTGGATTGTTTTATTACATCTGATTTAGTGTGCAGATCAATGGATTTTGTGTTATTTCTTTATTGTTGGTAGTTGCATTAAGCGTTCCCTCAAATCCTACATTTGGCAGATGACTGATAAAACCAGGATTCCGTGCTGTAACTATTAAAAAAATGTCTCCCTAACCTGTAACTTTCTGTTTGCATCAGGAAACGTCAAACCCAGGTGTCCCTCCCTGCTACTACACCTCTGCCAACCCTTTCTACCTGGAGAACCTCCAGTACTCCCCCACAGGGGTTGTGGCTGACCTGACTTTTGACAGTGCCAGGGTCAGAGCTAACGAGGCTGCCACTGCTCCAATCAGCACTCTGCGCCTGGAGGTGATATATCACCTCGACAACATGCTGCAGTTCAAGGTAATCCCACCCCACAACTCCCAGGAGTGTCGAATATTGCTAAAAAAATTACCTTGCTTATGGAAATGACAACAGCTGGTTATAGTCAGGTTTCTGTTACACAGGCAGCAGCACCTTTGCCTAAATTTGTTTCTCCTTCTAAGGAATTATTTGCTGTTGCTCTCTGCTTGCATCTTTTTTTCTCGTCCTGGAATTCTGGGCTCAGTTTTACAATGAAATGAATCAAAGGTGTAATGTCAGTGTACGTGTGAAATGTCAACCAGAAACTTTGAAACCGAAAGTATTTTGTTAACATACAGGTAAATTTATCTGTGAGTGTTACCAGGACTCTACACCTTGTTTTTACATCCATTATTCTACTTCTGTTCTAAATTTTTCGATACACTGTTGTTAACTGTCATTTATTGCCATGCATTTAGCAATGCTGAACTAAGTGTGATGCCATAAAATGATCAGGCATCAAAAACTAACTTATTTCAACTTTCAGAATACAGGAATCATTAAAAAGGGCTCTCTAGAAGCTGAGGAAAAGATTAATTACAAAGATATTTACCACACGCAGAAAGTATATGCCGATATTTTCAATATAAGTACATACTTGAAATTCATACAGATAATTAGACCTAAAATAAATCCTTAAGGGATTTTTTTTCCCCAAACAAAATCCTGTGAAATAATTGTGAGGAAAATGTATTGAAAGAAAATAGTCAGAAAGGGTTAGAAAATCACAGCAAGTGTTTTAAAATTCATGTCAGATTTCTCTTACTGTTCTAGGCAAGGTTTCAAATACCTTGCTTATTGGAATAAATTGATTTCTCCTTCACAGATCTATGATCATCAAAACCCACGCTATGAGGTTCCAGTCCCACTAAATCTCCCCAGCTCCCCAACAAACTCGAGCCAGAGCCGACTTTATCAAGTAGCCCTTCAGATACAACCCTTTGGAATAGAAATTCAGCGCCACAGCACGGGCACAGTCATGTGAGTCACTGTCGCTTTGTTATTTTATTTTATTTCACCTGTGGGTTTTTTAGCTCTTTTCAAGCCAAACTCTTCTCTTGTGCTGGAGTGAGGGACGCGGACAACTCCATCGGGTGTTCCTACGCTCCCTAAAATATTCCTTAGGTGACCACAGCACTGATCATTAAGGACGGACCATTTGGTTCAGTTTTGGGGAATGGTTAGGAAAAAAAAACTACATAGAAGGAAGTAATGTCTCAACTAACTTGTAGATGGGTTTTGGTACATGACAGGAGCTTCATTTCTTTCTCTGATTAATTCAGAGCTAGAAAACAGAGAAAAATGGTGTTAGCAGTTGCGTGCTATGGTTTTTATTTAAAAAGAAAAACCAGTTATTTCCATTTTTAAAGTTCTCAAAACTTAATTGGAAGCTGAATTCCTTTTTTCCAACCAGAGTAATAATCCAACCTGCAGTTCAAGCTCCCGGAACAATGTAATTCTTTGGCAGAGCACCACGAGGTTACATTTTGATTTCTATCTCCAAAGATGCTGATTTACAAACAACTGTGACCTGTGAATGCAATTTCAGTGTGACCTGCACAAAAAGTTCAGTGACCTGTAAAAAGCACCTGATTTTCTCTATTCCACGTGGCACCAGTGCTCGGTCTGGGAGGAAAATGCTGTCCTGAAACCCATTTTGTCACTAAATTGCCAAAATAAAGTGTCATTTGATGGCCATGATACCTGTGCATAATATCTCTCTCTCAGAGAGAGGCTTTGTGTCTCTAAACTGTTTATCAATTCTTAGACACCCCTGTTTCATGTGCTTTAAGTTTTCTTGATAACCGCAACAGTTTTATTCCCTTTTTACTGAAGAGTGAGATTTTCAGAGGCAGAGAGCAGCCTAAAAAAAAAAAAAAAAAAGGAAAAAAAAAGTGTCTGCTGGCTCAACACAGCACTGAGGCCACTCTTCTCATTTTAGCTGGGATTCAACCCTGCCCACCTTCACGTTCAGCGACATGTTCATCCAGATTTCCACCCGCTTGGCGTCCCAGTACATCTACGGGTTTGGGGAGGCGGAAAAGGTCACCTTCCGACACGACGTGAACTGGCACACCTGGGGAATGTTCACCAGGGATCAGCCCCCTCGTGTAAGTACCAGAAAACACGACCTTTGGACCGCTAGGTCCGATGCTCAGAGGTGTTCAGTAGGACACACCCGTTGGCTTTGCTCCCATTTTGTGGGGCTCATAATCTGGATGGTCTCAGTGGGAAAGGTCTTCTGTAGAAATGTTCCTCGAGGTCTGCAAGACCAGTGTGTGAGCTGCTGTTAGAAGTGGCTTAGAAATAACAGCACATTCCTCCTTTTTTATTATTCTGAAAGTTAGGCATGAGTCAGGGCAACTCCTACTATCTGGGGGTTAATTTAGTACCTATAGGGGCAAATCAGCAATCCTTTGTCTGTGTGTTTACTGCTGTTATTTCCTATGAGATCCCACACTTGCAATTTTTACTGGGAATGACCGATGGAATTGGTGGTCAATTATAGCTCTAATTCCCAGGTCAGGTTTGAACACATTTTTGAGAAAATGAAAGGTAGCAAAATGTCAGCAGCCTCTGCTGAGCACATAAACCCCTGGTCCTGACTGAAAAGGGAAAGTTTTGTCCTGAGGAAGGACCTTCTCATTAGTGAGTTTTAAGGGCAGTAACACCTTTGCTTTCCTTCCTGCCTGGGCTGTCTGAACAAGGCTGACTGGAATTGTGAAGCTGGGAAGTAGATATGTTTTGTAGGTGTGTAGAGTTTAGGTATGTGATTTTGGAGTTTATTTCTTGTATCTTTGGCAGTTGCGCCTCATCTTTTCTTGATTGCATTACTAAATGTAAATAAGCAAATGCTTGTGATGTTTCCCTGCTAGAACGTGTTTTATTTTATTTGCAGTACAAGCTGAATTCCTATGGTTTCCATCCATTTTACATGGCTCTTGAAGAGGATGGCAATGCCCACGGGGTTCTCTTGCTTAACAGCAATGCAATGGGTAAGAAAACCTTCACTTTATTTTGCAGAATCAAGGAATGGTTTTGGGTTGGAAGGGACCTTAAAAGTCATTTCATTCCACCCCCCCTGCCATGAGCAGGGACACCTTCCGTTATCCCGGGTTGCTCCAAGTCCCATCCAACCTGGCCTTGGACACTTCCAGGGATACAGGGACAGCCACAGGGACATTTCGCCTTCTCTGAGGAACCTGTGCCAGGGCCTCACCACCCTCACAGGGAAGAATTTCTTCCCAATATCCAATCCAAAACTACTCTCTGTCAGTTTAAGATCATTGCCCCTTGTCCCATCACTCCAGGCCCTCCAAAACAGACTCTTTCCATCTTCCTCGATGTGTTTTATTTTTACGGTCAGTGCTTTGCAGCAGTGGCAAATCCAGGTGCCCTGTTCTCACTTCCCTCCCCTCCATTCCCCAGATGTGACTTTGCAGCCAGCCCCTGCCCTGACATACCGGACAACCGGAGGGATTCTCGACTTCTACATGTTCTTGGGCCCGACGCCAGAGCTGGTTGTCCAGCAGTACACTGCAGTAAGATCCCTGTTCTCATGCAGACTCATGCTGGGTTTGGGTTGCCTGGTTTGTGCCCTCTTCACCTGCTCACCACAAATAT